AAAAAAAAAAAAAAAAAAAAAAAGTGATGATACAGTAAAAATGGCATTAAAATCCAAAGTTAATTTTCCTCAGCTATCTTCATTGTTTCAATTAATATGCTACTTTGCCTTAAGCGCTGTAATAGACATAGATGAAGTGTGTCTTAGTTACTTTCTTCCTGCTGGGACATGTTAAAGAGAGGTTTATTTTAGCTCACAGTTTGTAGAGCTTTTTAGGCCACAGTTGGCTGGTCAAGGGGCCATGACAGAGGAAAAACAGTTCAAAGTGTGACCGGCACAAAAGAGGGAGCAGATTCAAGGGATAAGGAGGGATGTACACCCACAGTGGCCTACCTCTTCCTACCAGGCTTCACCTCCCAACATTACACCCAGCTATAAATAAACCCATCAGTGGACTGATCCAGTGAGAGAGTATCTCACACCATGATGTAGTTAGTACACCTGTGATGCATGAGGCTTTGAAGGGGCATCTACATAGAAAACATTAAAAAGTACATAGCGTACTTAAGGATTATTGTGTCTTGGAAAACTGTTCTGTTCATTATTAGTGTAATGCTTTCTATATCATTGATAATTTTCCTTGTTTTTAAGTCTGTGAAACTATTTTCACTGCAGCTTTCTTTTGATTAATATTAGCATTGCATTTCTATCTCCATCAGTTTCTTCTAACCTGCCTTTGTTTATATATAAAAGTATTATTTTTGTCTACTCTGACAATCTGTCTTTTAATTGATAGAACATTCACATTTAAATGCAAATTCAGTTTTAAAATTTATGTGATTATAATTACAACTATTTTCTATAGATTGAACTTGGGCTTTTTTGCTTCTTTTTATGTCTTCTACTTTTTCCCTCCATTGTTTTAATTGAACATTTTATTATTTTCTTTCTTTATAGTATCAGTAATATATGTGTTAATTTGGGTGTGTGTGTTTGCCTTGGAGTTTGTAGTACAGTATACATTTACTATTAATATAAGTTCACTTTGAAATGATACCATAATAGTACTTTATGGGTAGTTGGGTTACCTTACAACAGATTATTCCCATTTCTTCTGTTTTGTGCCTTACAGCATTGCTATCATCTTACTTAATCATAAATAATGTTTTATTGCTGTTAATAATTTGAACGAACAGCCTGTTAGATTTAAAAGAGATTTAATCTGAAATCTTTCTCCACTATTCTTCCTTTGTGTGTATTTGAGCTTCTGTATATATTGTTTTCCTTCTTTCCAGAGAACTTCTTTTAGCATAATTTGCAAGACATATCTACTCATGACAAGTTTGCTAAAGTTAGTATTTCTCTATTACTTGTGAAGGATAATTTCATTGGAAACAGACTTTTGGGCTGATTTTGATTTTCCTTTTTCTTCTTAATATTTAAAAAAATATTCTACTCCACTATCTTCTTGTGTGCACAATTTCCGGAGAGAAATCTGATGTAATTCTTAAGGTGTCTTGTCCCTCTAATCTCTTTGAAAAATTTATCTGTGATTTTCTGCGGGTTTATATGAATGGAGGAAATAATTTTTCTTCATTCTGAGAACCTGGGGTGAAAGCATGGATAGAAGAGCCCCATCTTTAGGAGGATCCTCACATTCCATTTTTATCTCTCCTATATTCAAACTCAGTTTCCAGCAACTAGTTCATTTCCTGATAAGTAGAGTAGTCTTACCAGGCTCTCGCTGTTTCTGGTAAACCCTAAATCTCTGTATTTGCATTTCTCTACATTTCTGAGGACAAAGGTTTGCCCTTTGGACTCAAGTCTGGAGAATGTAAGTAAGAGTTACTGATCATTATTGTGTGTTGATTCTTTTTCTTGTTTTGAAGAAAGGAGCAGTGATTTCCAATTTTTTACATGTCAAACCACAAATCAGAAGTATTATTTTACTTTCTTAAGACTGTTTTATGGTGAGTTACATCAATCAATTTTCAGATATTGAACTAGCATTGCATAGCTGCAATTAATCCTACTTAATCATGGTACATAATTCTAAAGTTATTGGATTCAGTTTTCTAATATTTTCTTGAGATTTGGGAGGCCTAACTTCAAATAGACATTTATTTTCCCCAGTAGAGACATTGTTCTATAGTTTCTTTTTTCTACTTTGTTTTTATATCAAGGTAATGCTAGACTCATGAGTTGGGAAATGCTCTCTTATTTTTGGAAGAAATTGCATAAAATTTACTTTAATTCTTGTGTAAGCATTCGTTAAAAGTCCTGTGACACATTTGAGACTGGGTTTTCTTTTAGAGGGAATTTTTAAATTACAAATAATTTATTTAATGGTTATAGTACTGTTTAAGGTTTTCTATTTTCAAGTAGGTTGTGTTTTGCTAGTTCATGGAATTGCTGTTTATCTTGTAAGTTTTAAAATTGATGTTTATAATTACAAAATTGCTTATACCATTTCTATTTTGTCTTTTAAAAAACTAGGCTCTGTAGTTCTGTTTCATTGCTAATATTTAGTGTAATATGTGGTAATATATAGTATATGTCTACTCTTTCTCCTTTTAATCTTTCAAAGTCTTTATAGAAGATTAATATTATTGATCTTTCCCCCAAAGAATCAGATTTTATTTACATTGAACTAACTTTTGTTTCCAGTGTTACTGATTTATACTCTTATTTTTATTACCTTCCTTCCTCTTTTCTGATACAAAGATTTAGTGTTATAAATCATCCTCTCAGTATTGATTGATGTATCCCACATCTCATCTGTAGTCATTAGGTAAATGAGCAATTCAAAATAGTAACATACCTCACTTTTTTTAATTGTTACAAAATATGCATAATATAAAATTTACTCTTTTAATTCTTTTGAATTGTAGAATTTAGTGACATCAAATACATTTACATTATTGGACAGCAATCACCTTTGTCCATCTTCATCACTTTTTCATTGAGACTGAAATTTTGTACCTGTTAAACAGTTATACTCCTTCTCCCCCACTTTCTTCAGTACTGCTCTGCTTTATGTCTAAAATTGCTTATTTTAGGTACCATGCATAAGTAGAATCATGTAATTGTCCTTTTCTGTGTGTGAGTTCACTTGGCAAAGTATCTTAAAGGTTCATCAATATTTACCATATATCAGAATTTCATTTCTTTTTTAGGTGGTATAATATTCTATTTGTGATAAGTGCCACATTTTGTTTATATATCATTGGTGGACATTTGGATTGTTTACTTTTTGACTATTGTGAATAATTCTGTGAACATTGCTTTCAGTTCTTTTGGTTTATACACAAAAGTAGAACCAGATCATATGGTAATTGTACTTTTTAATTTTTTGAGCAGCAGCTCCACTGTTTTCCACAGCAGCTTCACCATTCCTTTTCTCCACCTCACCCTACTTCTCCCTTCCACTTTACCCTACTCTCAGTACTGAGAATTGAACCCAGGGCTCATACATGCTACATCTTCATCCTTTTTTATTTTTATTTTGAGGTAGGGTCTTCCTAAGTTGCTCAGTCTAGCCTTGAGCCTGTGGTTTTCCTATTTGAGCCTCCCAAGTAGGTAGGGTCACAGACATGTGCCATATAAGATCTTGCAGCAGTTGCATCGTTTTAATATTTGATGATGGTCATCCTGATGGGTCTTCAATGATATCTCATTATTTTGATTTACATTTCCCTAATGACTAGAGGTGATGATAGCCTTTTTATATGCTTATTAACTATTTATAAATCTTTGGAGAAGGCTGGGGATTTAGCTCAGTGGTTCTGCCATCTGCCTCACAAGTACAAGGTCCCGAGTTCAATCCCCAGTACCCCCAAAAAAAATCTTTGGAGAAATTTCTGTTGAAATCCTGAGCTCATTTTTTTTGGTGTGTCTGGGTGTTCTTTTGTTGTACTTCTGTATATGTGCTGAATGTTAATCTGTTATCTGATAGAGAATTTGCAGGTATTTAATCCAATACTGTGAGTTGCCATTTCACTTTCTTGATGATATCCTTTAATGCACAAAAGCTCTTAATTTTGGGGCCAGAGATTTAGCTCAGTGGTGCCAGGTGCCTTGCAAGCGCAAGTCCCCAAGTTCAATTCCTGGTGCCCCAAAAATCCCAAACCAAACAAGAAAAGCTCTTAATTTTTATGAAGTCTAGTTTACCTGTTTTCTATATTGTTGCTCTTGTTTTCAAGGGGTAGCTGCATAACCTATGCATACTCATTTTTCAGAGTTCTGTACAGTTTGTCTTTCTCAGTGTCTCCAACTACTGCCTTTTTAAAAAAATCATGAGAGGATCAATACATTGCTATAAGTGAGAAAGTACTGAAAGATCGAATAACACTAAAAGAAACCTAAATTGCTGAATATAGAGTGAGCAGGAAAAACATACCTTATTTTCTTCTGTCTTTTAAAAGTTCTGTTAAATTCAGAAGCAGTTGTTACTTATAAATCTGTTCATATAACATGAGAATATATGGCTATTTGAAAGAACATATATTCATATACATCTTAAATAGAAAGTGTCCCTCAAATTGAACTCAGGATATATCTAATATTTTATTAAATTTGGGTAAAGAAGTTAGCGCTTCTTAAACTTTGGACTATATCAGTATTTGTGGTTGAATCAGCTGCTTCATTAGAATTATAACAGAGGCTAGGGGTGTGGCTTAGTGGTGGTGTTCATCTTCATGCTTAGCATGTGTGAGGCCCATGGGCTCAGTCTGACAAAAACAAACCGTAGAACTGATTGGTAATCATTTACATGTAGTATTTTAATTTTAATTAATACCTTTTTGAAGTAGCACTTTAAAGTTTTGTGTTTGGCTTTTTTTTTTTTAAGAAAAAATATAATTATGATAGAGAAAATGCAGCTTTTTTTTTCTTATAATGCAAATAAATGTGTTCACTACTTTATCACTTTGAAGTAAAGTTTGCCTGTGGGACAAGATTGTGTTTTCAGTTATGTTTAGAAATTGTAAAATTGACTTCATTGCTGATACAGTTTTGTTCTTTAATGGTGCTTATTAAGTGATGATGTTGGCCAATTGCAGGTGACTTATCTAACCTCATTACGCTGGATGTAGCTCACAATCAACTTGAACACCTCCCAAAGGAGATTGGCAACTGCACACAGATTACCAACCTGGACCTGCAGCACAATGAACTGCTGGACCTCCCTGATACCATAGGTATGAAGGCAAAATAGGTATTGACATTTGGATATTAAGAGGGCTATTTTAATACATATTGTGACAAAAATTAGATTAAATTTCAAAATAATCTAAACTTCTAAGAAAGTACTTAAAAGGTTTTCCATTTCTTGAGAAAATAATTAAATTTTAAGAAATGAACTTAGTTGGATTATAAGGAAGATAAAATATTGAGTTATATGTATAAATTCTTTTATACTGTATTGTAGAATGGGTGGAGTTTCTGTTTTGCTTATTTCAGAATGTTACATATTAAGTGTGATCTTCCCTTATTTGTAAAGTAGGTCACACTGAAAGATGAAACTGTTGCCATTTTATTTTTAAAATAGGGCCAGTGTTAAAAATGAAACATTAGGGCTAATACAGTTAAAACATTGTTCAACTGTAGTGTTGAGGAGGTGAAAAGAAATATCTTGAAATTTGACATGTTCCCACTGCCTTGTACCATTGGTAGTACAAATGGATCTAATCACTTATTGATCTTTTTACTAATAAAATTATTAGAAAGCCAGGGATTTAGCTCAGTGGTTTCGCCACCTACCTTGCAAGCTCAGTGGGGGCCCAAATTCAATCCCCAGTGTACCAATAAATAAATAAACAAATAAGTAAAATTAATAGAAGCGTGATGATGGGGCAGCCATGCATGTACCCCTGATGGTTCAAGTTGCCTAGCAGTGAAACACAGAAGTTATGGTCCTATTATGAAGATCTTGAAATGTATTTTGAAGACTGCCAAACTGCAAAAAGTTGAATTAAGCTGTGATGTGTTCTATATTTATATGATCTTAATATTTTCCACTTACCCATGCATTTATACAAATAGAAAAGTGAATTTTAAAAATTCTGGTGACTTTTTAATTATTGGCATGAAGATCTCATGTTTATTTAGACAAATTACAGTAACTGTACTTAATTTACATAATTTTAATAATGACTGTTTCAGTGGTGCTGTTACTGAATTACTAGAGGCCAATGATAATGTTATTTTTCTCCAGGACTTTGTTTTGCTTTTTGTGAGGTTCCTAGGGTACCACTTTTATCAATCTGTGTTTGATACTTGAAATTTTTCTAGTCTCTTTGGTGATACAAAGGTTTGTTGTGGACTAATTGGATGACGATTTTACTTTTAGTTCACCTTTATTAGGGGGATAAAGTCCTAAAGGACTTCACCCTTGTCAGACTATAGATTTTATCTCTGTAGAAATACGGCAGTCTCAGAGGCATCTTTTGTTAGGTAAGTGCTCTCAGGACAAAATCTTCTCCAATGTTTTGCTTGTTTCTGGCTTCCCAGCTTGCTTCTGGCCTAGTACTTATTATCTTGATCTCCAGTTTTGTTTTAGAAGGTGTTTCTAGTGTTTTATTTTTTAATGAGAAGATTTGAATTTCTTATCATTATTTGAAATAGAAGTAATTGCAGTTCTTAGGGACTTTTTAACAAGGTTGATGTAGAAAAACAAGCTCAGAGTTAAATATAAATACTAGCCATTTAACTGATTTTTTCTTGATTCTTGGACGATGACTCTATCATATTAGTATTTGTAGCAGTAATAGGTTAAGTATTCTAGCATACTTACTCATTCTAATATCCATAGTGAATATTTATCAAATATCTTATGTAAAAGGATCAGATACATAGTTCAAAGTAATAGGGACCCAGGACAATTATTTCCTACTTTTCTATCTTTAAAATCTATTGAAGTGGTCAGCATGAACAAAAAGTGATCCTAGAAGAAAGAGTACTGAAAAGGTTATGTGCTGTGTCAGGCATATATGATCTGGCTATTAAACAAAGAAAAACAAAAAAATCCCAAATGAAATGCAATTCATAGATGGTTGCCAAGTTGAATTTAATGGCAAATGCAATATAATATGGTGAATATAGACAAAAGACCAAAATAGTGATCTGTGTGATAAAGTAAAAGTATTCCTCTAGAATCTAAAACTAAAAGATAAAAAAAATATATAAGTGAAAAGTTAAAAAGTCAGTAAAGACTAGTGTTCTAGGATGTGAATAGAAATAATAGAAACTAATAAACTATGTTGTACTGTTTTCCTAAACTTGACTGAAACTCAGATAATAAGGATAAGATTGGAATTGTTTACCAAAAGATAATGAAAAAGTCATTCTTAGAGAAGTTTTAAAAATCAGATTGATTTGTTGAAATGAATATTTGTATGTAATATGCATGTAATATTATAAAACCTGGTAATCGTGATTATGTATAATAAGTTAGGTATGCTTCTTTAATTTTGAGGGCAGCTACCTGAAACTGGCATTATATCATCCTTTAATATTTGGTAAAATTTATCAGTGAAGGTATTTGAGTCAGGATTTTTCTTTGTAGGAATGTTTTTTAAATACAATTTCAGTTACTCTAACAGTTGGGGCTATTTAGATTATCACTTTCTTTTTGAGCTGTGTTATTTATGCTTTGCACAAAGCATGTTCATTTAAGTTGTTGCATTTAAAAACATGAAGTTGTTTAACAGCAGAATTCTTAAATTTAGTATCTACAGGCTCTAATAATGCCATCTGTCTCATTTCTGAAATTGGTATCTTGGCATCTTTTTTTCCCAGTTGTACTGATTAGAGGTGAATTCTGTTGATCCTCTCAGAGTTTTGATTGCCCCTGTTGTATCTCTGATTTTTATTTCATTGATTTCCATTTCAAATTTTATTATTTTCTTTCATTTACTCCTTTGAGTTTTAATTCCTCTGTTTTAGTTTCTTCCAGTGGAAGCTGTAGGTTACTAATTTTGAGTCCTTTCTTATGCATTTACTGCTATAAATTTCCCCATAAGAACTGCTTTAACAGTATCTCATAAATTTTGATGTGCCTTTTTTTTTTTGCTGTTACTGTTTTCATTATGAGCAAGAACATATTTTTGTATTACCTAAATACTATTAAATTTATTGTGACTTTATAGTATAGTATATAGTCTATCTTGGTAAATTCTGTGTATAAGTAAATGTGTATTATGCTGTTGCTGAGTGGAGTGCTTCAGAAATATTAATCATGACACAGATAAGGCAATCAGTGAATTTGTTCTACTTGTGTTTTTCTTGGGAAGGTGTCTCTTCTCTTTTAATTTTTGTTGTAGCATCAGGACAACTAATACGCATTATTTTAATCCTTAATCCCCATTTTTGTTTTAATCTTAATGTTTATCAGCTATCATGTTGCCATACTTGCCTTAGTCAGCTTTTGGATGGCTAAAGTTAATCTGATAGTCATTTTATTAAAATTAGTTTTTGGGAACAATTGTGTCCCCAGTATATCTTACATGTTTGTAATCTTTATACTTAACAGTTTATACTTGAACATTGGGTCCAACTTTCTGTCCCTGAGGAATTTAATTTTTTTTAGTTCTTTGAAAGTTCGGCTACTGTGTTAGGTCTTAGTCACATTTTTGTCACTCAAATACTGTGTCCAGCACCCACCCACAATTTAAAGGAGGACAGGTTTACTTTGGCTTCTGTCTTAGACATTTCAGTCCATGTTCTGCAGGCTTAAGCACAAAACAGCACGTCAGGGGGACTGGATGGAAGGAAAGCTGCTCATGAAATGGCTTCTGGGAAGTAGAGGTTGAAGGGATGAGCCAGGGAGGGAGATATGCCCTATCTGGTCGTCCCCCAGTGACCCACCTCTTCTGACCAGACCCTGTCTCCGAACATCCATATTTAGCTATAGTGTCCCTGTGATTTAGTTATCTTTCAAAAACCCTGCCTTTGAGCACATGAGGCTTTGAGGGGCATCTAGATGTAAACCATAACATTGCTCCTGGCCTCCAAAAGACTCATTTCTGCAAAATGCATTCAGTCCATCTCTTAAGAGTTGCTAGAGCCTTAATAGTTTTAGCACTGCTAAAAGTTCAAGTTCAAACTTTCCTGAGATGTAAGGCAAATTAACTCTTCACTGTGAGCCCCTGTAAAAACCAAAAGGAAAGTTAAACATTTCCAACATACAATGGCACATGGTAAACATTTCTATTCCACAAAGGAGAAATATGCAAATAGAAAAAAATCAGATCAAAGCAGGACCAAAACTCACTAGGGCAAACATTAAATCTCATAGTTCTATGTCTAGCACCACAGAAAAGATATGGTGATGAGATGTGAACTCCAAAGGGCTTGAATGGTCCCATCCTGTGCAGTTGGTTGTAGCCCCCATGGCCCCTCTCTTGGGCTCGTTTTGGTTGCTGCTGTGGCTTTCCTTAGAAGTTCATTATTTCTGGTTTCAACTTCCTGGGAACTCCAGTGTACTTTTGGCTTCACTGTCACAGTTTCACACCTTTACCTCTCAGGGGGCACACTGCCTGGCCTCCTGAGCCTCCTCTTGAAATCTGGGTGGACATCTCCCAGACTTCACAACTCCTGCATTCTGTGTTCTTGTAAAACCAGCGCCATGAGGATGGTGCCATTGTCTGCCACCAGTTTGAGCAGTAGTGAGGCCAGCTTGTAGCATGGCTGCAGAAGTTTCAAGTGCCTGGTTGTCTGAACTCTGGGAAACACTTTCCTAGGTGATCCTGAATAAGCTGAGTTCCCTGGGACTTCTCTTCTTAAAGCAAAGTCTTACAGGATGAAGGGTAAGGTGTTAACTTTTCCAGGATGCCTTCAAAACATTCTTCTTATTGCCCCGATTCAAAGTACTGTACTTAACTTCTTTTTAATACTAATGTTTTCAGCATCCAATCTTTTCCTCCATTGAAACTTTCAGACCCTTCTGAAATTTCTGAGGAAACTGACAACTTTAAAATTGGGCTTTTTGCTCCTGATTTTGTATATAAACCTGTCTAAAAGCAGCAAGTAGTAGCCATGCTACAGCCTGAACATTGGACTTCCATGAAACTTCTCTGCCATATTAATCAGTCCTCCACCCTTAATCTCAGTCTTCTGCAAAGAAAGGACATGAGCAAAATGTAGGCACATTTTTTGCCAGTGCAACATACATGGCCTGGAGTCCAACACTGTTCTCTCA